TACATATAAGAGCCAGAAGCTATAGACCTAGTTAGTAACTGAAGGTGAAAATTAGTCTAAATTAATTGAAGTTATCTAACTAGTTAGCTATCGACTAGCTAGAGACGTTGCTAAAAAGAAGTAGTTCACTTACTATAAATCTCTGTTTGGATGAGTTAGAACTAATTTTAATTAATTTTTAGTTAGCCAACGATTAGCACTTGCTATACAGCCGCACATGTCTTCTCCGCTCCATGAGGGCGTTTGCCTGTACCCTCCCCTATTGACCGTTGTTTCCATCGGCATCAGTGGTTCTTCGGGTCGCCGCAGATGAGGCGATGTCTGTGTGTTTTCCTTGCCGCCGCGTCCATTGCCATCAATTTTCTCGCCGCCACCTGACCACCCCTGCAACTATAAATAGGAGGAGAGCTTAGCAGCTCATGCCAGGGCATTAGCACTCGCATCAGACTGCTTAGTGCCAGTGAGCAACTAGAGCTAGCTCGCACTAGCTACAAGCTCAGACGTACGCGATCGAGCGCGCACCATGCAAGGTTCCATGGTGAATGGCACCGGCCGCCGCCGCGTCCAGGTCATCTCACGGCGCGTGGTTCACGCCGACCCGCCGCCGGCCCCGTCGTCGGTGCCGAGGACCATCCACCTGACGCCCTGGGACCTCCGGATGCTGAGCCTCGATTACATCCAGAAGGGCGTCCTCCTGCCCAAGCCCGAGCCCGACCGCCGCGTCCAACCGGCCGAACTCGTCGACCACCTCGCGTCAGCGTTCGCCCGCTTCCACCCGTTCGCCGGCCGCCTGGCCGCCGACGAACGCGCGGACGACGGGATCGTCACCGTGTCGTCCACGCGGCGGCGCCCGGCGTCACGGCCGCCGACATCGCCGGCGCGCTGTACATTCCCCGCGACCTCGTGGCGTCGCTGTTCCCGCTCAACGGGCTCGCCAGCGCCGACGCCGCGTCGTCATCCGTGGACGACGGGGAGGACTCAGACTCCCGACGACGGGCCCGGGCGCCGCTGCTGGCCGCGCAGGTCACCGAGCTGGCCGACGCCGTGTTCGTCGCGGTGTCGCTCAACCACGCCGTCGGCGATGGCACCACTTTCTGGCACTTCGTCAACACGTGGTCCGACTTGAGCCGGAGCGGCGGCGGCGCTGGCGCTACGACTATGAGCCCACACCCGCTGCCGGTGCTCGAGCGCTGGTTCCTCGACACCTGCCCCGTGCCGGTGCCCCTGCCGTTCGCCAAGCTCGAGCACGCCATCCGGGGATACGATCGCGCAACGACGTTGCACGAGTGCTTCTTCCATTTCTCCGCAGAGAGCGTGAGGAAGCTCAAGGCCGCGGCGAACGCCGAGGTGCGCTCCAGCGAAGGCGCGGACGACGCGGCCATGGTCACCACCATCTCCTCCCTGCAGGCGCTGCTCGCGCACCTCTGGCGGGCGGTGTCACGAGCCCGGCGCCTAGACCCGTCGCAGGAGACTGCGTACGTGCTCCTCATCGGCTGCTGAGGCCGGGTGAAGGGCATCCCGCCGGCGGGGTACGTCGGCAACGCGGTGGTGCCCTGCAAGGTGACGTCGACCGCCGGCGAGATCCAGGCGAAGGGGCTGGGCTGGACCGCGGGGCAGCTGAACCGCGCCGTGGCGTCGTTCGACGAGGCGGCCCTGGTCAGGGAGTCGGTCAAGCGCTGGGTGCGAGCGCCGCGGCTGGCGTACAACACGGACATGCTGAGCGTGGCGGCCGTCGGCACCGGGAGCTCGCCGCGGTTCGACGTGTACGGCAACGACTTCGGCTGGGGGAAGCCGCCGCTCACCGTGCGCAGCGGCCCCGGGAACAAACTGGACGGCAAGACCTCCGTCTTCGAGGGCCGTGGCGGCGGCGGCGCAGTGGCGCTGGAAGTGTGCCTCGCTCCCGACACGCTTGCGAGGCTCGTCGCCGACGCCGAGTTCATGGACGCGGTCACCGTGCCGTGACCGTGATCTCACTGTCATCTCTGGTCGGGAACTCGGGATTGAGAGGCCACGTGTTACAGGTCGTGTCATTTTTTTTTACAAATAATAACGTCCAAGTGCAGGGTAGCAATCGCTGGTGGGACAGGCACTCTATGTGCTGCTGTGCACGTGTTAAAAATCCTCCGATGGCCGATGCATTCATTTTGGATTTGTAAGCATTGTTCATGGAGAATAAAGGAGAAAACAAGAATCTTTTGATCGAAACGCTGAAATTAAGTGTTCAGCTAGGCCAAAGCATTTTGAGCATTGTTGTAATACTAGTTTTATCTCCGTAAAACTCATTGCACCCCATAAAACTTTGATTATCTTTTTTCTTTATTTATATATTAATTTGAGTTTATTTCAACATTTATAAAACTCTCACTAAGACTGACCTTATGATAACTTGCCATAGGCCTATTCCTCGGCTGTCATGCACGTGAGATGGAGCTTGCGGATCTCATCGTTCAAGAAGGAGACAATAAAAAAGGCCGATTGTCCATGACGAACAACTCAGCCTTCATGACCATCAGCCTGCATGACCAGACACATCCTACGTGCTGTTTGGTTCATCAACAGTAACACAAATGGAAATAAATTTAGAGTCATTGACGTTACGACAAGACATGCGATTTGAACTAATTTCGTTTTCATTTGTGTTACCATTGAAGTAACCAAACAGCGTGTTGATTCTACCCTTGCATTATATGTTGCTGCTAATATTGATCACTGCTATCACAAGGTCCGGTGGCGCTTGATGCTCGCTGCCAGCCAAAGCCGCGGTCGCCACCCCTGGTGCCCTAGCTTGCACGAGCACCGCAAAGTTGTCCTTGACGTTTTGTTTTTTTAGTTTTAGATAGAAATAGAGATTCTCTCCCCTTTCTTCTAAAAAAAACAACTATCGTCCTATTCGGCTGATGGTTTATGCGGCTGATATTATTTTATTGTGAGAGAAAAATACTGTATCATAACAGATAGACAGTTCAAGCGAACAAGAGCTACGAGGATATGAGGTTTGAGAATGACTCTTTGCTTTGTACCTGACTTTTTAAAGGAAATCATATGATATTATAAGATCAAAATGTTACGAACGACGTATAGGAATATAAAGTAAAAAATCAAGCCACAGAGGAGACACACGATTTAACGTGGAAAACCCCTCCAATGTGAAGGGGAAAAACCATAGACACCAGCCAACAACAATCTCATTATCTCAAGAGTTTTGGGTTACACGCCTATGTCGGCTTACAAGAGAATCAAGTCTCCACGAAACCCTAGCAAGTGTGTATATATCAGACACCCGTGTGGGGGCTCCGCCCGCACACTTTGAGCTGTGGGTGGGACCTGATGTACCGGCTTTAGACTCCGCTACGCTCCGGCCTAAGCCTCCGGCGACGGGCCTCCGCTCTGCTCCGTCAGAAGCCCGACCTATATCCTGGAGTGAATTTGGAACAACTCCAACAAACTCCACCTTGAGACAAATTCATCTTGTATCATAAATCAATCCTTCATCCTGAAACATAACAAAGATAGAAAACCACTGGTGCCAACAATAGTCTCTTGGACTATCCAATTAAACCAACTAAGCTTGAGCACAGCTCAAACTTAGCAACAGGAACGTGCTTTGTCATCATATCGCCAGGATTATCATGAGTACTAATCTTGCATACCTTCAAACTTACCTTCTTCAATCACATCACGCATAAAATGATACTTGATATCTATGTGCTTAGTTCTCTAATGGAACATCTGATCTTTAGTGAGGTAAATTGCACTTTGACATCACAAAGGCAAACTTATGCAAGATTCAACTCCACAAAGCTCAACAGACAAACCTTTCACCAAATTAATTCTTTTGCACGCTTCACAAATAGCTATATATTACGCTTGAGAGTAGACAAAGCAACAACCGATCGTAAAAGTAGCCCTCCAACTCACAAAGACAATTGTCAACAATAAACACATAACTCGTAAGTGATCTTCGCTTTGTCCGGATCAAGAAGATAATCAGAATCCACATAGCCAATAAGACCCTTATCGGTTCTTCCAAACTTTAAACAGAATCATTGTGCCTCGAGGTACCTGAAAATCCACCGAATCGCCCTCCAATGTTCTTTTGTTAGGATTAGACATATATCTACTAACAAGACTCATAGCATATGACAACTGGACGAGAGCAAACCATAGCATACATCAAAGACCCAACAACACTAGAATAAGGAACCCTTGACATGTATTCAATCTAAGATCGTACATAGGACACCTTTGAGCATTTGACAACTTAAAGTGAGGTGCAATAGGGGTACTAACAGCCTTAGCATTTTGCATGTTGAAACATCAAGAACTTTCTTGATATAATTTTGTTGACTAAGAAATAGCAAACCAGATTTTACATCTCTACTAATTTCCATACCAAGAATTTTCTTAGCACTACCAAGATCTTTCATATCAAAACCACTACTCAATAGCTTCTTTAACTTAGTGATTTCAATCTTACTCTTGACAGCAATCAGCATATCATCAACATATAACAGCAAATATATAGGTGATCCATTAACATGCTTGATGTAAACACAGCTATCATACTTAGATCTTTTAAAACTGTGTGCTAACATAAATGAATCAAACCTTTTGTTCCACTGACGAGGGAACTGTTTCAAACCATACAAGGATCTCTTCAACTTGCACACATATTTTTCCTTGCCAGGCACTATGAACCCTTATGGTTGGTCCATGTATATGTCCTCCTCAAGCTCTCCATGCAAAAACGCAGTCTTCACATCTAACTGCTCAAGCTCAAGATCATGTGAAGCAACAATACTAAGGAAAGTACGAATTGAACTGTGTTTTACCACTGGAGAGAACACATCATTGTAGTCAACTCCCGGAATTTTACTGTAGCCTTTAGCAACTAACCTTGCCTTATACTTTGGAGGCTCGCTTGGAGATAAACCCTCCTTTCTCTTGAAGATCCATTTGCAGCTGATGGTCTTCTTATTCTTAGGTAAAGGTACAATCTCTCATGTGTTGTTCTTCTCAAGAGACTGCATCTCCTCATGCATAGCAGAAATCCAATTCTCAGTATCACCACAACGGATAGCTTCTTTATAGGTTGTTGGCTCATGAACATTCTCCACCTGTTCAGCACAACTCAAAGCATAGTAATACAAATTACACTCTTCAATAAGACGCTTATGAGGTGCAATTATCCTTTTTGACTTGCGTTGAGCAATAGGTAAATCCTCCTCTAACTGCAAAATAGGAGGAGTTTGCTGAACATCATCATGAGCATCATCCTCAGCAACATCATTATCATGGTCACCATGCTTATCAATGTGCTCCACACCACACCAGATCATCATCAACATGCTCCACACTGCATGCGCATACGCTGCAGACTTTTTTCTCGAACATGATCTCGAGGACAAACTGTCAATAAACATCATGATTCATTGAAAACAACACTCCTGCTCATAAAAGTCTTTCCTGTTTGTGATTCCACAATTTATAGCCTTTGACTCCCGAACTATAACCAAGGAAAAGACACTTAATGACTCTAGGCTCTAATTTTCTATTATCAACATGAGCACAAGCAATTGCATCCAAAAACTTTCAGCTGTGAATAATCAAGCAGCGCATTGCCGGACCATACCTCAATGGGAGTTCTTTTATTTAGTGGAATAGAAGGCGACCTGTTTATCAAGTAACAGGCAGTATTAGCAGCTTCACCCCAAAAATGCTTGCTCATCCAGGCATTAGACAGCATGCAACGGGCCTTGGACATGATGGTTCTGTTCATGCGTTCGGCCACACCATTCTGTTATGGAGTATGAGGTATGGTGTGATGCCTAACAATGCCTTCCGATCTGCAATAATCATTAAATTCACGCGAACAAAATTCTCCACGATTATCAGTACGAAGCAATTTTACCTTCCTTTTAGTTTGCCTTTCTATCATTATTTTCCAGTCCTTAAAAGCAGCAAAAGTAGCATATTTCTGTTTCAGAAAATAAGGCCAAACCCTTCTAGTGCAATCATCAATAATTGTAAGCATGTAACGAGCACCACCAAGTGAGGACTTACGGGAAGGGCCCCATAAATCAGCATGAACATAATGAAGAGTACCTTTAGTGGTGTGAACACAAGTGTTGAAATGTACCCTTTTATGCTTCCCGAAAATACAATGCTCACAAAACTTTATTTTACTCAAGTGCGGTCATCCAAAGAGTTTCTCTTCATCAATTTCGCCATACCATGGTGACTCATATGTCCCAAACGCATATGCCAAAGGTTAATTTTACTAGGTTCATCATTAGTAACAAAGAACAATAAATGAATCGTAACGTGTAAAGTACACCCTCTAAGGACATATAACTTTGCGTAATTAAGATCACCTTTCAAGCAAATAAGAGAACCTTTTGATACCTTGTAACGCCATCCGAACCGAATATTTGTAACCTTACGCATCAAGCGTGCTCAATGAGATAAGATTTCGGACATCCCCGGTATATATACGACGTTTTTCGGTATGCGTGTCATGCCATCATCGGTCTTGATCCGAATCGATCCAATCCCCACAATGTCACACGGGTTATCATCTCCCATCCGCACAACATCCCCTTTACGCACAAGGCTTATACGAGCTAAACCAATTTTCGTTAGTGCAAATATGAAATAAACATGCGGAATCGAGAATCCATTCATCATGACCAAAGAACACAACCAGCAAATACTACCAGACAATCTCCAGAATCATCATCAGACGCAGCAGCAACAACAGAGACCTTACCAGCCGACTTGTTTTTCCTCTTCTCCTTATTCTGTACTTTTCTGCAATCCTCAACATTATGATTTGTCAGCTTGCAATAAACATGTAACTTTTTTATTACCATGCGGCTTGGACTTTGAACGGCCTCTCCTTTCGTAGTTCTTTCTTCCATCATTGCCATCATTGGAGGATCTTTTTCGATTCGCTCTCACATGCAAAGCATCGCCCTTGGAGGACGACGTCCCGTCATTCTGCACCATGCCTCTCATCTTCTCCCTAGACTGGAGAGCCTCATAAACTTCCTTTAGGGTTAGTTCATCATGGCTCAAAAGTATGGTGTCACGAAAATTTGCATACGAATTTGGCAAAGAACATAGCAGTAAAAGACCTAAGTCCTCATCATCATACTTCACCTCCATCGACACTAGGTCGGCGACGATCTTCTTGAATTCAGCGATGTGGCTCATCACTGAATCCTCCTCCTTCATCTTCAGGGTGAACAATTTATCTTCATCTGCATCTTACTGGTTAGATCCTTGGACATACAGATCGATTCCAGTTTCAGCCATAGTTCTGCAGTAGTTTTCTCTTTCAGACACTCCTGCAAAATATCATTATGAAGATGCAACTGAATTAGGGCGAGCGCCTTCTGATCCTTGCGGATCTCTTCTGGAGTCCACTCGGCCTTCCTCTTTCCGAAACTATCCAGCACCTCATCATAGTCATGAGTCTGCGCCAGAATCCCCCGCATCTTGACTTGCCATAGCGAGAACCGCGTGTCGTAGTTCAGCAGCGGAAGATCGAACTTCATTGACGTCGTCATGAACCCTAACAGCAACCAAAGCTCTGGTACCACTTGTTACGAACGACGTATAGGAATATGAAGTAAAGAATCAAGCCACAGAGGAGACACACGATTTAACGTGGAAAACTCCTCCAATGTGAAGGGGAAAAACCACGGGCACCAGCCAGCAACAATCTCACTATCTCAAGAGTTTTGGGTTACACGCTTATGGCGGCTTACAAGAGAATCAACTCCAACACAGAATGGCGTAGCGGAAGCGAGGTGGGCCCATAATGCATAGGTCCCAAGGTTGAAACTTTGTTCTGATGGTTTCCTGTGTCTTTTTTGGATTTTTTTTTGCTGAATTTTTCATTTGCTGTTTTTTCACTGAATTTTTTATTTTGCTGGCATACCAGATAGTTTTCTGTGTCTTTTTTGGATTTTTACTTTTTTTTTGCTGAATTTACTATTTGCTGTTTTTTCACTGAATTTTTTATTTTGCTGTGGTAGCAATACCGCCATATACGTACCAATAAGCCAATGTGTCCAGGTTAATCCAATGCTCGGAAAAGAGTGGGGACTATTATGTGTTTTCGCTTGTGTACAGATAATCTAATTGTTAGCGAGTACCTTTTGGAGAATCAAATCAAATTTAAAAATGAGCAACAACCGCTTTGTTGTTCCAAGAAACTTTTGTATTGGATGCTCTTTCTGCAACAAGAACTTTTTGGGAACAGCACGTCATCTTCAATTGAAGCTGCTAGTTTGGGACCCATCAAGAAAAAACCTGCCGAGTGTGGTATTGCATTTCCAAAAAAAAAAATTAAAAGATAACAATGTTGAATCAGCCTTAGCTTTCAACCATTATGATGTGACAATTGTTGACATGGCCACAACACATTGGCATTTTTTTCCTCCCGCCGAGAGATGCGTCGTGCGTGCAGTGAGCCAATGACAGGTCTACCATTCGGCAAATCTGCGGCGTTAGACTTGGAGACAAGTGTCAGATATATGTGTGAAGTCCAAATATTTACGGTCAGAGATAATTGGAGCTGTAACCAAATTCTAGAGACAAAGATAGGATACTAGAGATAGTAGGCCTAGTTCAACTTGTCTTATACTCAAGTCTCTCCCATTTGTACCCATATATTCCATATGGGGTCAATTCAATTAACAACATATTGTTAAGATTTTCACAATATCCACCCTTTTTCATAATTATATTTTTTTATCCATATCACACATGGATTTTATAATTAGCAGTTGGTTGCATGACAAACATTGGACAAAATAGAACTATTTAAAGAAATATTTTCTGCTACACGGATTTTATCTTGGCAGAAAAAAGCTTCAAATATAACTTATGGTATAGGTCAAAAGTAACACATCCCCATGAAAACTGGGTCATCCGGGATCTGAAACCTGGTTGTCTAGTTCGGGATATCTAACATTCTTACACACTTAAAGTAGTGGAGCATTCAATTGCCACCTCTAGAAAGAATTCTACATTTTTGCCACTTGAGAGTGAAAAACTTTACGATTTCAGACATTTTGCTCGTGTGGCACTCCAGTACACCTGTCTAGCATGGTAGGGGCATGTGATGCCCCTTCTGCTCCCCCTTATCCTTCACCTTGGCTCCTTCTTCTTCCTTTGGTTCCTGCTGCTTAGACCGCACTGGATGCAATGGCACGGTGTGTGGAATGGCAAGCTCTTCGACTTGAGAACACTCCTGTCCTGGATGATCAATGTGTCACGGGGCATATTAATTAATTCTTCACATGTCCGTGGCAAAGCCTGACTCACATATGATCAAGGAATCACGGGGGTTGTTCTTCATGTCCGTGTCATAGACTCGGAGGTGCCACTGTCTACGGTGCATCATTCTTGGAGGAAGTCAATGGTGATCCTTAGCCTCCTCGCGATGCTCTATATAGTGTTTGATCATCCGATTTGCCACTTTCATCAAGACCTGGATGGCCATTGCTTGCATGGGAGTTTTTCTTGGTTTTGGATCATCCATACCAAACTTCTTCAACACGTCTTTCAAAATTACTTGGCTTGGCATACACATGTTCCTTCTCCAAGTTGCCTCGTTTGAAGTCCAAGAAAGAAACTCAATTATTTTTTAATCATAGACATTTCAAACTCTCTTGACATGATGTTTTCAATTCTTCACAAAACTCTTGATTTGTTGAACTAAATATGATATCATCCACATATATCTGACATACAAACAAATATTTGCCAATCTTCTCAGTGAATATAGTGGTATCAACTTTACCCATTTTGAAACCTTTGGAGAGCAAGAAATCTCTAAGTCTTCCATACCATATTTTAAGGATCTATTTGGTTAGAGCAAGAAATCTCTAAGTCGCAATCTATAATAGTTGGGTGATCTCTAATAAGCTCATGAAGAGACCAGGGAGTACAACATATATGCTCCGCCCACGGGGTAGGCTACTAGAAGCTAGGTACTTGTTTGACTTTTGAGTAAAACTTGTTCGCACAAAAGTTGCAATTGAAGACGTAGTCCATCAACCGAGCTACCACAAGTCTAGTAATCTTTCGGAAACTCGGCAAAAAGAACCACCATCTCATACCTATTCTGGATTTTATTTACCAAAGTTATTGAGAATAAACAAGCATAATCAAACCACCTATGAAGTTGCAATCAGTTGCAATCATTATTAAATAACATAGTATCTCCATTCGACTCCGAAACAAAAAGACATGATTTTTCTAGTTGAGAAGGTGGGAACTTGTCATGTCAATCCACGTGGCAATAGAGCTATCACGTCAATGTGAGTGATGTGACAAGCTTACTACTCTATCCGTCCCAAAATAGACGTCATTCTCATTTCCCAAGAAATCAAACACTTTTAAATTTGACCAAATATATATAAAAAATATTAATATTTATAATACATAATTAGTATCATTAGATATATTTTTAATATACTTTCATAATAAACTTATTTGGAGATATAAATATTGCACGTATTTTCTATAAACCTAGTCAAAGTTGAGAAATTTTGATCTGCACGTATCCCATAACGACCTTGCACATAGGGAGTATGTCGAATATGCACTAATAAATTCCTCCTGCGCACTCTAGTATGGCACAAATTATCACGCTAATGTATGACTACTACTGTTAGGCCACACGGCCTAGCCAAACAAAACCACGAGTTCCTCAAAGGAAATAGAAAGAGTCTCGCCCGTAGCGCATCTTTTTCTTCAGATTTGAGTTGCCTATTTTCGAGGAAGCACTCACATGTTGATTGCAGCTGCTGTACAACAAGGCTCACACGTTGATAATCATATTTGGAATGCGGCTCAACCTGATTGCTCTTCATTCGTGAACTCGTGGTCCGCCCGCACTAATAAGAACTGCACACAGAGATGTTGAAATTTGGAAATCAGGTTCAGGTCCTTGGTGATTGATTTATCAATCTCAATATATTGTTTGCACCAAGCAGTAGTTGGCTTCATCAATCGATGTAGTGCTATCAAAATCTTTATGGATTGGTCAAAAGTTTGTATCTGTTGTATAGTGCTATCTCAAAAAAAAATCTTTGGATGATGTGCTAAAAAAAAAATCTTTGGATGCGAAATGCTGAAATCAAGTGTCCAACTACAGCAAAGCATTTTGACCATTGCTCTAATATTCTCTTACCTTTACTTCGTATCAGCATTCAGCAGGCAGTCAGGATCCGAGGTTTCACAATGACCATGGCACGGACGTTATTTTGTGCCTGAAGAGGGCATGGGCATCATACTTAAGTAAGCTGATATACTTCAAGACAACAAGATCAAAGTGGCGCAGCGGAAGCGTGGTGGGCCCATAACCCACAGGTCCCAGGATCGAAACCTGGCTTTGATAGATTTAATTTTTTTTGCTATATTTGCTGTTCTAGCAAGGCTTTTGCGTATAGAGTTGAATGTTTTTTTTTTACTTTGGTATTTTAGTGTTCTAGCAAGGCTTTGACAGATTTGAATGTTTGTTTTTACTTTGGTTTTTTTTTTTGCTGCTCTAGCAATACCATATGTACCAATATACCTATGTGTCCTGACCGATTAATCCAATGCTAAGAAAGAGTGTTATTTTTTTACCTTTCCCCCCCCCCCTGTTTTAGCAATACCATATGTACCAATATACCAATGTGTCCTGACCGATTAATCCAATGCTCAGAAAGAGTGGGGATTATTATGTGGTTTACACTTGTGTAGTTCACATATAGTCTAATTATTAGTGAGTACTCCGTACCTTCTTTTGCTGTTCTAGCAATACCATATCTACCAATATACTTATGTGTCCTGACCAATTAACCCAATGCTCAGAAACCGGAATTACAATGTGTTTTTTTCACTCAGTTCACGTCTAGTCTAATTAGTAGTGAGTACCTTTTGGAGAACCACGTCAACTTTAAAAATGTGCAGCAACTGCTTTGTTAATTGTTCCAAGTAACTTTTCTATTGGATGATCTTTCTGCAACAATGACATTTCACCGCTCTTCTATCTCCTCCGAAGCCAGAAACGAATATTTTATTAGGCGCGGTATCCACCAGCAAATTTTACAAGAAGCAAAGTGTCCTCTAGCAAATCTCATTATTTTCAATGTCCACCAACAAATGGATGCCATTTTCAGTGTCATGCGACAAATTTTGTCCATAATAAATAGTGGGCGGGCACGTGCACTGTGGCCAACAGATCTTTAGCGTAGATAAAAGAAATATCCGTATTCAAAGGCTATTGGGTCGCGCCCTCTGTATTTCATAAGATATGGACTCATGACCATTCTTATACGAGTTAGGACAACTCACATCTAGCAATGATACGAAATCTGATTCATATATGTATTATTATTAGGTTCCTTTGCAAATACATTGCAATAGAATTTACATTGCATCGTCTGTTCTAATACATAACTCTGTATGATTGTTGGACGAGTGAGCCGTGAGTTCGGGTCACAAATAGGACAATAAACCAATGAGGACTCTCTAATTCGTCACATACTCTTGATTA